TCTGGATTATACCTTTAATTGGTCTGGATTGTACCTTTTATTGGTCTGGATTGCACCTTTAATTGGTCTGGATTGCACCTTTAATTGGTCTGGATTGTACCTTTAATTGGTCTGGATTGTACCTTTAATTGGTCTGGATTGTACCTTTTATTGGTGTGGATTGCACCTTTAGTCTCGATTGTACCTTTAATTGGTCTGGATTTTACTTTCAATTGGTCTGGATTTTACTTTCAATTGGTCTGGATTGTACCTTTAATTGGTCTGGATTGTACCTTTAATTGGTCTGGATTGTACCTTTAATTGGTCTGGATTGTACCTTTAATTGGTCTGGATTGTACCTTTTATTGGTCTGGATTGCACCTTTAATTGGTCTGGATTGTACCTATAATTGGTCTGGATTGTACCTTTAATTGGTCTAGATTGCACCTTTAATTGGTCTGGATTGTACCTTTAATTGGTCTGGATTGTACCTTTAATTGGTCTGGATTGTAACTTTAATTGGTCTGGATTATACCTTTAATTGGTCTGGATTGTACCTTTAATTGGCTGTGATCCCACCAATAGACCCTGCTGCATTCACATTTGGTTTTTCCTAGAGGGCGCTATAACACTAAAACCATATCCTGTATTTTTTTCCATTTACAATAACAAAACTGTTGTAAAGTTTACACCATATTAGCTCCCTACATCTCAAGGCGTAGTGAAAGCAGTCTGCGTTATCACTTCTCCCAGCAGTTGCGATGTTTATTAGTTTAAGTGTGACAATACATGACGGATACATTACATAGTCACCCAGTTCACACTTTAAACTTCAAAATAAATATTAAATATAACACACTGATAATATTATTACAAGCAATTATCAATTTATGTGCTTTAGCTAGGTTAATACCACCAGTTATTTTTATTAAGGTTAAATACAACCAGGTTAGACCATCAAATTGGACACAACCTTACCCAGTCTACATCTTTAGTTGTCCGATATTTCAATAAGGATTGCCATGGCTGGAAACACGAAATAGATAAAACACAGCATGAAATTTCAACAGAAAATACATGAAATTGTTGTAATGTATTGATACTAATTGAAAGCAGCATGGTGCTTGTTACAGTGATAGTCACATGACTGTATCTTTGATCCTAAGCTTCTCAGTATCTTCTATACAAACTTGATATACTTGTGCATTGCATCACTGAGAAGACGTCATTTGCATCATATGAAAACAACAAATGTGTCATACAGTCATATGAAAACAACAAATGTGCCATACAGTCATATGAAAACAACACATGTGCCATACAATCATATGAAAACAACACATGTGCCATACAATCATATGAAAACAACACATGTGCCATACAATCATATGAAAACAACAAATGTGCCATACAATCATATGAAAACAACACATGTGCCATACAGTCATATGAAAACAACACATGTGCCATACAATCATATGAAAACAACACATGTGCCATACAATCATATAAAAACAACACATGTGCCATACAATCATATGAAAACAACAAATGTGCCATACAATCATATGAAAACAACAAATGTGCCATACATTTCATTGAGTACAAACACAATTCACAAAATGACAGATATTATTCCTTCCCAACAAAACAAGTGGTGTTTTGAAATGATACCACCACTGTTGTATTTGAAATTGGCATATTACTGGTGCTATACGATAATCAAGTTGGTAATGCCTGCATAATATTATAGTATATTTTCCTCTTGTAGAAATGTATTAAAACGTACATACTAAATTAAAGTTTGATTGGACAAATATTTAATTTGAAGCACTTGACATTTATATTAATTGATTTGATGCAAATAATATATAGAGATTAGGTGTCTTGCAAATAGCTTTTTCCAGATTTTCCATAGATTAGGATTAAAGTTTTGGTATTTTTTGGGAACAATATTTTTCAATTCTAAGATCATTAGGCTAATACCAAATTAAAATGCCATGAATTTCACATTGCGGAAGGCGGTAAGGGAAACATCCCGATATTCACCTGAAGATAATACCTGGAGTATGTTTGTAATGTGGCTGCATTACTAACTAGTAGAATGAAATTTAGTGTTTCATGACTCTCAGGAAACGGTACTTTGGGATAGTTGTTGAGCTAGACTCTCATGAACAGGGTAACTAGATTACCGCTACATGTGCAACATGTACAAATTTAGTGTTTCATGACTCTCAGGAAACGATACTTTGGGATAGTTGTTGAGCTAGACTCTCATGAACAGGGTAACTAGATTACCGCTACATGTGCAACATGTACAAATTTAGTGTTTCATGACTCTCAGGAAACGATACTTTGGGATAGTTGTTGAGCTAGACTCTCATGACCAGGGTAACTAGATTACCGCTACATGTGCAACATGTACAAATTTAGTGTTACATGACTCTCAGGAAACGGTACTTTGGGATAGTTGTTGAGACTCTCATGAACAGGGTAACTAGATTACCGCTACATGTGCAACATGTACAAATTTGGTTGCTCAGGTTATTTACATGGTAAAGTGGTGCACATCCAAGCAACATTTTAGTGATGTAGCTTCGCTCCCGAGAATTAGATAGGTGTCTGATAGCAAACTTCAACCGTTTTTAGATTTGCATGACATTGTGTTTTTATTAGAGGTGCATAGTACATAACAAAAACATCATTATTATAAAGAATCCTCAGACAACTCTTACCTGATCTTTAGGATCCACAAGACGTATTCGCTGTACTCTCCTAGACGGTACAGCTGTTGACGCCCTGCCATGTCCCATTGGTCTCAGCTCTATCGTTTCAATGTTCACTTCACTGTAATGATATGATATGGTATATGTGACCAGCTGAACACAGTCATATATAATAAAAGCATTGACATAAGCTCATAGCTGTTGATAACATGCAAAGTGAAGGAAATGAATAACAATGAATACATGCCAGGATAAATACTATCGGTATGTTAATTAATGTAAAATTAAATTACAGCACAAATACAATACTGAATCGTCTAGCTACACAACTCAGAACATTTCAAGTTGGCCGTCAAAATCCACAAGAACCAGATTCAGTTTTATTTCAGTGTACATTTATCATTGACCAATATACAAATTCAAAAGTATACTGACAATTTTCTCATTTATGGTATGCAGCAAGATAAGGTATTAGCAAAAATATTTAAAAATGTAGACACTGATTATGCATTCACCATTAAGTCACAGTTTAATTTAAAACGTGTGTTGTCCTGCTTAAAATTTTGACTGACAAGGAGGGCTCACGTTTTAGGCAACCATAAAATCCAGTGAGCGAATCTGGACCCAATGTTTAACATTAAAGTGTGAAGTACAACGGGAAAGGAAACTAAGTGATACCGTTCCGAAGGTAGATTTTTGACACGTCAACTTGTGAATTCCAGTCACTGGTTATATGCCATTTTATTAATAGTTAGATGACCAATTCCACTGATTACTGTTTTGTTGTAACATGTGCTGTAACTTGACATTCATCACACTATTCAGTCCTAAGGTTTCAGTGATTATACCATGTTTGTTAATTTATAGAATCTATTATTTCCCTGGCCAGTTTTTTATATTTACAAATACATAATGTGAAGAGTATTGAATGTTCTCTATCCCTCTTACCGACCTCCCTGTGTTGTGTGTAGTGCATGTTTTCGTTGAGTTCACCCCATACTAACTGTGTTTCCATGTTTGTGCTTGGTGACGGCGAGATATATTGGAAATAAGAAACCATCAGAGTACATTTTTGTCTCCATCTATATATACATATAGTGCTTGTTATATGTTGGTTTCCATCAGTCTAAAATTATTCCTGTGTTACATGAATTGTACATGTATACCTTTAAAGTGCTAATACCCAAACACAAAGTAGTAAAAATATTGATTATTATTGGCGATCCGCTCCGCTAGGATTGCCCTTATAATCACTTTTGTCGTTTTGTGTGTCTGTGTGTGTACATTTCCAGTGTTTTCACTTATGATTTCTTCTGTGATTTTTTTGGCTTGGCCGATTTCATTCAAACTTGGCAGGTAGGTCA